TCCTCCTTCTCTGACATGTCCACGTTCCCACTGACCTATGTCAGGGGAACACTGAGCCCAGGGCAGACGAGGATGCCGGAGGACCGAAGGTGCCCGCAGCCAACAGGTGCCCGTCAGAAAAAGGCAGGAGCAAGTAAGCCTCGCCCAAGGCTCTAGCTCTGCAGAGACTTGCTAAGCAACCGTGCCTTTTAGTTCCATGTCTTGGGCAAAAAACGAGTGGGACCAAAAATGGGCATCACCCGGTGGTGCCAATTTACAAGCTCATGCATCTTGAGTGCTTTGTGAAACTGCCTCATTGCTTCATAAATATGCACGGTTTCACAGTCCTTTCTTGCCTGGCTATAAACATTCATCACACACACTCTACTTCCTTTCTTGCAGGCTCCTTGGCGCTCTCCTTACTCTCTCTTACATCCTGGGGTGGAATTTTTCTTAAATAATACAAACACGCATTGCAGGTCCCTCGGACAGAAGGATGTTCAGCTTGAGCCTCGAGATACAGAAAGCAAAGGGCCATCACACCCCAGGGCCCCTCGGGCATAACTCAGGTCCCTGCCACCAAATAGAAAGAAACGGAAAATGAAGTCACAGAAACGCACAGGGAGGAGAGGTGGGACATTACAGGTGACCGGAGACGGATCCAGGAGCAGCAGCTGCGAGAAAGAAAGGCCGGCCGCCCAGGAAAACACCCAAGCCTGGGATAGTGACGGGGCTAATTCGGGACAAGCGGTCGGTGTCACTGGAGCTCCAGGAGGTGACAGTCACAAAGAAGGAAGTGAGCGAGGGTCCCGAAGATGTGGTACTGAGCCAGAGATGGGTGAAAATGCGGAGAGGAAAGGGACCCTCTTGCACTGTTGGAATGTAAACCGATGCAGTCACCATGGAGAACAGCATGGAGATTCTTTAAAAAAAAACTAGGAGTAAAACTACCATAAGATCCAGCAATCCCACTCCTGGCCATATACCCCAAGAAAGCCACAGTTTGAAGAGATACATGTACGCAATGCTCACAACAGCACTATTTACGATAGCCAGAACCCAGAAGCCCCCAAGATGTCCATTAACAGATGAAGGGATAAAGAACACGCGGCATGTATGTCCAAGGGAATATTACTCAGCCATGAAAAGGGGGGGATTTGCGTCAGTCGTCGTGAGATGGAGGAACCTAGAGCCTGTCACACAGTGTGAAGTAACCCAGAAAGAGAAAGACAAATGTGGTATATTAATGCACAAGTATGGAATCTAGAAAAACAGCACTGAGGAACCTGTTTACAGGGGAGGGGTGGAGATGCAGACGTAGAGAACGGCCCTGTGGACGCGCAAGGGAAGGAGAAACAAGCTGAGAACGCAGCACTGACATGCTTACACGACCGCGNGGATTCCATTACTGCAGGGGTCATAATCCTCCAGGGAAAAGAGTAGGGGTTCTCTTGTCAGAATCTGCTGTCAACGAGCAGGACAGGAACCTCATCAAGGGCAGCGGGGCTGTGGCAAAGACTAGGATGCTGAGATTGCATACGCCTCTCCTTTAAAACATTACTCCTCTAAACCAGACCCGTAACATCAAGTAATTCCAGGATGACTGAACTAGAGTCCAGGAGCTGTGGAGGAAGCAAAGATCAAAGGTGTAAAGAGTCTGGCTTTGAGTCCTGACTGTGGCACTTATCAGTTTTGACCGTGGACTGGTCATTGCACTTCCCTGAGCCTCTGTTTTCCCCTTCCATAATATGTGGACAATAATGTTTGCTGATCAGATCTCTGAGGATTTTATGAAGATGAAATGGTGAAAAAAACCATTGCCAGATTTTACCAGTTATTACTAGTGATTTGCTGTGAGATCAGAAAAAAAAAAAAATGAGTGAGCCTTCCTGGGGTCTCAGGTTTGTCTTTTGAGACAGGGAAAGATCACTAACCACCTCTCCGCTGTTCAGGAGACAGACAAAGCTAACAGCCTCGGGTCCCTCGGAAGCCGCGCTGTGCGCTCCCCAATGGATCTCTGGGCAGAGCTCGCTCTAGGGAGGCTCACGCTCATTGAGCTCCAGGCGGGGGCCCTCGGGGGAGAGGCTCGGTGAGTCAGGAGGGTCAGCCCTGGGCCGGGCTCCCGAGGTTCCCAGACCCCGGATCCAATAGCATCTGCATCTCCAGGCATCGCTGTCTGGGTGTCCCGGACCACGCGTCACTGGCTTCCTGCTCAGCCCCTGGGACACCCGGAAATGAGGCAATTCCCACGGGCCCGGGTGAGAAGGGCAGATGAGACTCATCCAGAGGCTTCCGAGGAGGAGACCTCCAAAGGGCCGCCGGCCCCTGGAGCCGCTCGGACGCACAGCATCACAGGGAGGGACTGTCACAGCCCGGGGCCTCCAGACTGGACTCGGGGATGGTCCCTGCTCCCCGCAGGTCAGTGAGCGCACAGGTGACCCTCACAGGTGACCCCAGCTCTTCTCCGGGCTTCCCATCGCCCCACTTACCCTCAAGCGCCCACTTAGGATTAATAACAAGCCTTGAATCTAGATCTTCCTTGATTGACAGTAAGGTTAGTCCCAGTGAACCAAGCATAATTTGAAAATATCATTAGTTGAAATGCATTTAATACACCCAACCTACTGAACATCAAGCTTTAGGCCGCTCTGCCTCAGAGGTGCTAAGGACACTTCCATTAGCCTACATTTAAGTGAAATCATCTAACACAGAGTCTGTTTTCTAACAGGGTGTTGAATAGCTCATGTGGTTTATTGAATATTGTACTAAAAGTAAAAACCAGAATGATTGTCTCGGTCCAGTATGACTGTAAGTGTATTGGTTGTTTTATAATCACTGCCACTGCTCAGAATCATGAGAAAGTATCTTACAGCATGATGAGAGGGCTGGAAAAGATCAAAACTCAAAACTAACAGTATGGTTTCTACTGAATGTGGATTGCTCTTGTATCATCATAAAGTTCAAGAGACTTAAGTTGAATCATCGAAAGTCAGGGACCATCTGTATTTACTGTCTGCCAAACACGCTGACAAGGGCTTCAGATGCATCATCTTGCTCAGTCCCCACGGCAACACTAATGGTAGGTACCACCGTGCAGAAGGAAAAACTGAGTGAGGTTAAATCACTTGCCCCGGGTCACAAAAGGACTAAGGGCAGGCTGCTACTGCTGCTGCTAAGTCACCTCAGTCGTGTCCGACTCTCTGTGACCCCATAGACGGCAGCCCACCAGGCTCCTCCATCCATGGGATTCTCCAGGCAAGAACACTGGAGTGGGGTGCCATTGCCTTCTCTGAAGGCCCCTCCGAAAACCACCAGTTTTCTTCTTCCCCCCAAAAAGGAAATGGTGGAAAGTCCAGCAAGACTGGGAGCTCTCTGAATGGTAACCAAATCAGAGGTCGCACACTAATATTTTTATTGCAGTTTCATGATTCTTCACCACAGACTTCCCCGGTGGCTCAGATGGTAAAGCCTCTGCCTACAATGCAGGAGACCCAGCTTCAATCCCTGGGTCGGGAAGATCCCCTGCAGAAGGGAACGGCAACCCACTCTAGTACTCTTGCCTGGAGAATCCCATGGATGGAGGAGCCTGGTGGGCTGCAGTCCATGGGGTTGCAAACAGTCGGATACGACTGAGCGACCTCACTTCATGCCTCTAGATTCCAAATTGCTTTAGTCTAAAGGCACTTTAAGACAAGTACTATTGGTAACTCTAAAAGAAAAGCAACCTAAATATCCCTCAGCAGGAGACTTTGTAAAAGGAACGTTCATAATATATCTTTGGGGGAAAAGTGGACCACACTTAATTACTAACATGGAAAGATCTCCAAGATACGTGGTTTAAAAAGTAAAACAAGATTCAGAACAATGGACATGGCTTGCTGCCATTTGTATATTTTAAAAGAAAAGGAGTATATATATATATATTGATCATCTAAACAATGACTAACCATGGAAAAATCCACAACTGCATGGTAGATTTGATGAAGAGAGGTGAGTGACTGGAGACTTATATGCAAGAGGATGGGAGGATTTATTTTGTCTGTAGTCCCTTCTGAGTTTTGTACCATAGAAATCTATTTCCATTCAAAAAGAAAACAGAAATTAAAATTGAAAGGCAATCCCCTTGTTCTCACTGTACCTCCATCCACCCCAAAATTCAATGAAATTGATTCACTCAACATTTTCATTTACCCTCTTGGTGAGTCCCCCACTGAGTCAACTCTTGGAAAGGGATCAGAGTAGCTCTGCCTTGTGTCACTGCTGGGGAGACCCCGAAAGGTGTGTCCTCAGAGACTGGATGCTCTTGGGGTCCTGATTTCCCTTATGGGGTCCAAGAGATCATCCACTGAGGGCAGGAACTGCCAATCGAGTGCTCTGGAAGTGGAAGAGATGCTGCACCCTTGGGTCACCCTTGGAGGCTGGACGCTGGGTGAAGGGGGAAAGTCCAGGATCCTCCTGTAACTGGGGGCTGAGCTGGAATCTATGTCTGAAGACTTCAGGTGGGAGAACAATGACTTCCCTTGAAAAGTTTTCTTGTAAGGATCTCATACTATACTTAGGATGTGTTCTGTTCTCCCAAGTTATTTGTAGCTTAGGTGTCTGGCTTAGGCTGCCTGAATTAATGGGTTTTACTGTTCTTCTCTGGGTTTCCCTGGTGGCTAGTCAGTAAAGAATCTGGCTGCAATCTGGGAGACCTGGGTTCGATCCCTGGATTGGAATGATCCCCCTGGAGGAGGGCATGGCAACCCACTCCAGTATTCTTGCCTGGAGAATCCCCATGGACAGAGGAGCCTGGCAGGCTGTGGTCCATGGCGTCACAGTCAGACACGGCAGAGCAGCTAAGCACATCACAGCACTCTTCTTCTTTATAACTTCTTGTGAAGTTCTTTCCTAGCTGCTGTTATTTGCTTTCTTTCCTGAGGCTGTGATTCCTACCCAATGAAGAAGGGATGACATCAGTTCCTCTCTCTGTGGTCATCCAGGTTCAAACATGAGGTCATCATTTGGGACCTCAAGCAGGTTACTCACCTCTCAAATGAGGTCAGGGTGGAGGAGCACCCAGCCTGGAAAACAGCCCTGAGCAGACGTTCAACAGATAATTGTCTCCTCCATCATAACATCTCCTCTGCCCTCCTCCACTACCCAGGGTTGTTAGAGCACCTCGTTCTTTTCAAAGCACCTCTGTCTTTACCATCTGTGAATCCAAAACCCAGCCAAGAGCTGTCCTTTGCATTTTGCAGATGAGTCCATGGGACCCAGCTTTCTCCAAGTGACTTGCCAGGATCACATCACCAAATGTGGAGGAACGGGAACCAGACCCACAACTGGTAGGTCAATGAGTGTGATAATCTCTAGGTCCATCCTTGTTGCTGGAATTATTTCATTCTTTTTTTTTATGGTTGAGTAATATTGGATGGGAATTTTTTATGTTAAAGTATGATCCCATTAATTCAGCTAAAGGAGTATCTGCGAAATTCAGGGGAGAGAGGAAGGGAACAGACCTCGAGCTGGATACAGAGAGACCCAAGGATATTCCAAGAGGATAATATGGAATGTGTGAAAACTTAGACATTTGCAATAACATGGTATGCTTGTAGAAGTAAGTCGTTGAGATTTGCAAAAGGGTAAATGGAAAGCAGGGTAGCATGGAGGTGTTTCACAGAGAACATCTGAAAGATAAAAAATTTAGACACTGTCTTAAGAGGGACAGGGGACACTTAGCACACATGGTGTGACATCACACAATGACATCACACAAACCCGGACTGTGACATCACGGGACTGGTGTGGGATTTACAGAGCAGTTTGCTACCAAGAGAAGTGAATTTTCAGTTGTTCAGTTCAATCACTCAGTCGTGTCTGACTCTTTGTGACCCCATGGACTGCAGCACACCAGGCCTCCCTGTCCATCACCAACTCCCGGAGTTTACTCAAACTCATGTTCATTGAGTCATGGCTGATTTTTAAGTGCTTGCTTCATGGTGTGTTTGTGTGAGTGAGTCCGTTCTTAGTCGCTCAGTCGTGTCCAACTCTTTGTGACCCTATGGACTGTAGCTGGCCAGGCTCCCCGTCCACGGGATTCTCCAGGCAGGAATACTGGAGGGGGTTGCCATTTCCTTCTCCAGGAGATCTTCCCAACCCAGGAAATGAACCTGTGTCTCCTGCATTGGCAGGCAGATTCTTTACAACTGTGCCACCTGGGAAGTAAGCCCTTTACATTTGGAATCTCATTTACTGCTTTGAAAAAGCTGTAAGTTAGATGCTGTTAAAATGGGTACTGCTGCTATTCTCATTTAATAATAGGAAACCAAAGTTAAAGTTAGTACTAACTCAAGCTTGCCCACCTGGTATTAATTTTTTCTTAAAAAAATTATGAAATATAATGAAAAGTACAGCCATGTAAAGTATGGAAATAACTACTGTGTTTTTAAAAATAGCAACTGTATATATATAGACAGAGATATCTGAATATATATATGTATATATATATATATATATATATACATATATAATATATGTAGTGAATCACTTTGCTATACACCAGAAACTAACGCAACATTGTAAATCAACTATATTTCAATTAAAAAAAAAGTATCATCTTTTCTGAAAGAGGGCTTGAGAATCTGAGAACAAATCACAGCAAAGTCATCTTTCTTTGCTTTTCCAGTTGGGTTCTGCCCACCCAGGAGGTCCTGGGGGAGCTCTGGGTCCCCATTGCGGTCTAGGCAGGTGCTTCCTGACTGGACCCGTGGTGAGGATCTCTGGACCCTGCCGTGGGCCATGCTTCTGGTTCTAGACCCCGACTCCCAAGTGGTCGGCCACCGGGCTGCTTGGCCACAATGTCTTTTGCTTTTGAGTTTTTGCTAATATGTCACAATTACAGAAGCACAGTGATTCTAGATCGATAACTTCTCATACTACGGAAATTTCAACAACATTTTAAGTGAGTTTGGTTGGAAATCACCTGAAGTTCAGCAGTAGGGACGGGTGAGTAGACTAAGGAATACCTGTGTGAGGGACACTTAGGTTGCTTTGAGGTCATCTTGGAGAAGAGCAGGGTGACAAGGCAGGAGGTCATAGGGGCAGTGTGGAAGACTAAAGGGCCCGTGGGCACATATGCGTCCGAAGATAGAAAGGCTGGGTAAACTCCTGAGAATGCCTTGCCATCACCTCCAAGGTGTGGGGCAGCAGGTGCTTCGGCCCTTTGGATTTTCAGTATTTTCCCAGTTTTAAACTAATAACTATTACTTCCTAAACCAGGAAAAGAGAATAATTTAAAAAAATAAGTGAAGTACATTTTGCTACAGTTCTAAACATGGTTAGGTTTATATTCTTGTATTAATTTTAAAAAGCTGCTTTAAAATTTTTTAAAATAAATAGATAAAAATAAAGGACTTCCCTGGAGGTCCAGTGGTTAAGACTGCACTTCCACTGCAGGGGGCATGGGTTCAAGCCCTGGTCGGGGAACTAAGACCCCATGTGCCACACAGTGTGGCAAAAAAAAAAAACTTGCTTTTACAAAATTTTGAAATAGACTTTATTTTTAGAACAACAGTAGACACACAGAAGAAATTGACTGAAAGAGCTCCTATNGGGATGTGGGTCATAGAGGATCCTGCTGTGATTTATGTCGGAGAGTGTTTTGCCTATATTCTCCTCTAGGAGTTTTATAGTTTCTGGTCTTACATTTAGATCTTTAATCCATTTAGAGTTTATTTTGATAAAAGGCTTTTTGAAGCTTCCTGATGGGAGAGACTGACTGAGGGGGAAACTGGGACTTGTTCTGATGGGCGGGGCCTTGCTCAGTAAATCTTTAATCCAATTTTCTGTTGATGGGTGGGGCTGTTTCCCTCCCTGTTATTTACCTGGGGCCAAACTATGGCGGAGGTAATGAGGATAATGGCGACCTCCTTCAAAAGGTTCCACGCATGCAATGCTACACTCAGTGCCCCTGACCCTGCAGCAGGCCACCGCCGACCCACACCTCCACTGGAGACTCCTGGACACTCACGGGCAGGTCTAGGTCAGTCTCTTGGGGGTCACTGCTCCTTTCTCCTGGGTCCTGGTGCACAAGGTTCTGTTTGCGCCTCCAGTCTGTTTCCCAGTCCTGTGTGAGTTCTGGGGGCTCTGTGGTGGGGTTAGTAGGAGACATTAAAGGCTACGGCCTTCCCAGATGGTGCAGTGGTAAAGAGCCCACCTGTCCGTGCCGGAGGCACAAGAGACCCGGGTTTGATCCCTGGGTCAGGAAGATCCCCTGGAGCAGGAAATGGCAACCTGCCTCAGTATTCTTGCCAGGGAAATCCTGTCAACAGGAGAGCCTGGTGGTCCACAGTCCGTGGGATCGCAAAGAGATGGACATCAGTGAGCAACTGGGCACACAGACATTAAAGGCTGCCCCTTGGATGAGAGAGTCAACCTTGTTTCTCTTCCTCTTTGACACGTGGGACACACACCAGTGGAATGGCCTCGGCACAGAACCACACCACAGTGCCCAGATGAATCTGGGGCTCACAGACCGGGCAGACCAGAGACAGCTCCTCTCTGCCACCTTCCTGCTGACCTACTTGGTGACTCTGTGGGCAACCTGGGCCTCATCGATGCCATCCGGGCCAGCACCAGCCTCCACACCCCCATGTACTTCCTCCTGAGCATGCTCTCCTTCCTTGACGTCTTCAGTTCCTCCTTGTTCACCGCCAGGCTGCTGATCAGCTTCCTCACCACTGACCAGTCCACTCCTTCGAGGGCTGTGTGGTCCAGATGACCCTCACGACCCTCCACGGCTCCGGGGAGTGTGTGCTCTTGTCCATCATGGCCTATGACCAATTTGTGGCCATCTGCCACCCTCTTCTCCACCACAGCATCATGTCCAAGCGTTTGTGTGTCCAGCTGGTGGGCTCGCCTATGCGGTGGGGGTATTCATTTCAGCAGTGCAGACACGGAGTGTCTTCAGCTTGCCCTGCTGTGGTCCAAACGCCATTGACCATTACTTCTGTGACATCCCCCCTGTGCTCCATCTGGCCTGCTCAGACACCCCTGTGGCCAACGTCATCTTGCTCATCTTTTCCACCTTGATCACTGTCCCCACAATCTCAGTCATCTTGGTCTCTTATGCCTACATCCTGGTCACCATCTGTGGGATGAGGTCCCTGGAGGCCCAGCGCAAGGCCTTCTCCACCTGCCCCTCCCACCTCACCTCCCTCTGCCTTTTCTACCGGTCTGTGTTCCTTGTGTATGTCCAACCCAACCCGGAAAGTGTTTCAGCCTACAACAAGATCCTTTCTGTGTTCTACAGTGTCGTGATCCCCATGCTGAACCCGCTGGTCTACAGCCTAAGGAATAAAGACGGCAAGGCTGCTGCACTGCTTAGGGTTCTCCACCCGAGCAGAAAAAGAATCTGTTAGAGAGGCCTCCGGAAGACCACAGGATAGAAGAGAAGCCTAGGGAACCCAGCCGGGACGAGAACCAGGAGCGGCAGGACACAGCTAAGCCCCTGCCGCAGGCTGCTCTGTGTAGGATGCCATCACCAGCAGCTGCACCTCTGTGCGCTCTCCAGGGCTGTGGCTGGCATCACTGCCCTGAGCTTTCAGCACCACCCAGATGCTGGACAGAGCCAGCTGTCCTAGCCACCACACCACCCTCTAGAGCATCCAACCACATGTCATCTCCTGCTGATCCCAGACCTTTCATCATTTCCTCGGAGCTCAGGTCCTAAGCAGGAGCATTCACCTGTCTGGCAGCATAGCTATTCTATCTCTTTTTTGATGGTTTTTAACATTTGTTTCTTAAAAGTTAACATGTGCATAATAGGAAAGCAAAAAGCACAAGATGCAAAAAGCAAAGTCATTCATAATCACAAGCAGTTTGCCATTTGACATGTCCTTCTAGGTGTCATTTGTACATTTTCACAACCAAGCATCCGTATTTATGTTATTAAGATCATGCAGTTACGTATCATGCTGTTTTACACATCATGAATATTAACCATTTCAAAGTCCCAAAGTTCTAAGTATTCTGGTAACCAAGAATACACTACACCAACTCAATCTGGAAGGAAAAAAAATGCAATCCTGCCTTTCTTGGCCTATTCTATATCTCTTGATGTATTAACTACATTCAGCATAGATAGCACACATATGCTCATCTCCTCCATCCGTACTTCTTCTTACAGGGCCCCGGGAGGTAGAAGGGGGAGCTGGATTCTATCTTCTTTCTGCTTTGAGAGTTCTCAAATATAGAAAGGCTCACTGAATGCCAAACAGTGAAAACAACATATCTCAACCAAGGCAACCTTCCCTGTAAGGCTATACAAGGTATGTTGCCCTTCTGAATAAACACTGTTGAAGAAATAATCCGCATGGTGTTCGACCACAGAAGGAAGACAGTAGTCAGTCCACTTTGCAGCTGAGAACGGGGGCCCCAGCACAGAAACCTCTAATTAGCCTTGGACTAAAACCTGCTCTAAGGCAGTAGTGAGCTATCGTTTCTGTGTAAATGACCAATGAAGCAATATTACAGGCCGAAAGACCACATAACTTTTTTTCAATCAGAAACTATATGTTTTTAGACAAAACCCTTCTTTTATTGAAACAGACCTCAGTCTTACTGATTTAAGAGAAGGAAATGGAGGTGCAATTACTGTGAAGTCCAGATGCCAGCTGAGGCTCCATATCTTTGGAGGATGCAGATGAAATTAGCTTGAACCCCAGTCTAGGTGTGGTGGTGTCCCCAAACTCCTGCGAACATTCCTGGGGACTTGGAAGTGCCGGGAGAAGCCTGTGCATGTGTTTCGTGCTCTGCCTGCTCAGCTCAGTCTCAGCTCCTTAATCCACTGAGTGAGATCAGTTTGTGACTCATTCAGAGATGGGGGAAAGCATGGGCTTGGAAATGTGGATGATGTCAATGAGGAAATGGGAAAAAACTCTGACCATTTTAGGTTCTGATAGGGAGGGGAAAGTAGTCCAGATGTCAGCTGAGGCTCCGTATCTTTGGAGGATGCAGATGAAATTAGCTTGAACCCCGGTCTAGGTGTGGTGGTGTCCCCAAACTCCTGCGAACATTCCCGGGGACTTGGAAGTGGCGGGAGAAGCCTGTGCATGTGTTTCGTGCTCTGCCTGCTCAGCTCAGTCTCAGCTCCTTAATCCACTGAGTGAGAGCAGTTTGTGACTCATTCAGGGATGGGGGAAAGCATGGGCTTGGAAATGTGGATGATGTCAATGAGGAAATGGGAAAAAACTCTGACCATTTTAGGTTCTGATAGGGAGGGGAAAGGGGGCAAATTCAGGCAGGTTGTGTTGAGGGCCCCAGAGCTGGGCTTGAGCCCTGAGAAGAAGCCAAGGAGACTGAACCTCTGCCAAACAAAACTTTCACCTCTAAATTCAGAGATGTCAAAGCGAAATGCTTTCCTAAAAAACTAGTTAATCCATGGGTGAACCTACTGATCAATGCCTAGTAATCATGTTGGAATCATCTCCCGGCTTTCTGTACAGGTTTGAGATCATTTTTCTTAACATATTGTATCGGCTTCTCCAGAGAAGCAGAACCAACAGGATATATACAGAGAGATAAAAGTGGAGATTTATTATAAGAGTTGGCTCATGCAATTATGAAAGCTGAGATCCACAATCTGCCATCTGCAAGCTGGAAAAGTAGCAGAAGACAGTGCTGTAATTCAGTCTGAATCCAAAAGCCTAAAACCCAGGGGGCCACCGATGAAAGCCGTGGTGGGAATCTGAAGGCTCGGGAACCAGGAAGAGCAATGTCTGAGAGCAGAACTCCCAGCTCCAGCCAAAACAGTCGAGTCGCCCCTTCTTGACCCTGTTGGTCTAGTCAGGCCCTCAAATGACTGGCTGTTGCCGCCCACGCTGGTCAGGGTCATCTTCTGACCCCAATTATAATGCTGGTCTCTTCCAGAAACCCTTCACAGGTGCCCAGAAACGTTTTATGAGCTCACAAGGCATCCTTTTGCTTGGCCAAATGGACACATAAAATTAACCATCACATAAACAAGAATAGAGCAAGCTCCAGCCAGTCTCCTACCGTCTCCGACTCAGGAGGTTAGAGACTGCAATCGCTTCATGAAAATAAGCCATTCACTTAATGAGAAAGTTTTCTATGAACGATAATTTCCCTTTCAGCCAAGGAGGCACAGAGGACCGGGGGAGCAAGAGAGGGATGCCAACCCCTCCTCGCTGCCCTATAATCCCAGACTCTGCCTCCTAACTTCACCAGTTGCTGAGCGAAGGTTGCCTCAAAGCCCGAGTCAACCAGGTCGCAGGCTAAGGAGTAGACAGGTTCCCCAGAAATTTGGTGAGAATCTGGAGAAGCACGGGGGGAAGACAGGCAGAGGGCGGAGGGCAGGAGCAGCTGACAACACAGCCGGGGAAACCAGGCACCCAGCTCCCACAGCCGCACACACCCTGCCCTCTGCACACACACCCTGCCCTCTGCACACACACCCTGCCCTCTGCACACACACGCTGCCCTCTGCACACACACACCCTGCCCTCTGCACACACACCCTGCCCACTAACTGGCCCAGCTCTCTCCTCCTCTGCCTGCACCTAAGACCATCTGCACACGACAGAGCAAGAGTCTGCTGAAGACTGGAAAGCCAGTCAAAGCGTTACCTCTCCCAAGAGCATTTGAATGAAAATTTTCTCTACACGTCTTCAGAGCACCCAGAGCCCCCCGGCTACCAGAAGATCTAGAACCTTCCATTGGGTGGAAGTGCCGCTCAAGTTAGGGGCAGATCAAGCCATAAGTGCTGAAACGAAGACCAGTTTGTGGTCCCTGCCAGGCAGCCAAAGCGCTGAGCTACAGTGGATCAAGGTCCCTGACAACGGTCAGCGAGAATGAGCGGTTACTCTTACCGATGACTGCTTCCATCACCTGAGAAAAGCTGGCCTTGCTGGACCTCAGGTCTGGTCTATGCGGAACAGAGATGATCTCCAAAGTCTCCTGTTTACAGACAGAAAGAGGATAAATCACTCTGAATCTCCTAGACGTTCATCATGTTCTCAAGCATCTCAAATTCATATAAACTAACCCTGGGCTTCTAGGTGACTCAGGGGAAAAGAATCCAACTGCCAATGCAGGAGATGCATGTTTGATCCCTGGATCAGGAAGATCCCCTGAGGAAGGAAATGGCAATTCACTCCAATATTCTTGCCTGGGAAATCCCATGGACAGAAGTGCCCGGCTGGCTACATTCCATGGAGTCGCAAAGAGTCGGACGTGACTTAGGGACTAAACCACAAAGCAAAGGTCTTCGAGAGAGGGACATTGCAACCAGGTGGGGATTCAGCCTGGCACTGGGGCCTTCAATGGGAAACTCAGCCGCTCCAGTGGCTGACAGCTTCACTCGCTGAGTGTGATGCTCTCAAGACGTCACTCCCAGGGACGACCTGGGGCAAGATGGGAGGAACCAAAATGAGGCAGATGAGGGGCCTTCCCTTACAGAGAGAATTCAAGACAGGCTGAGGGCATCTGCAGCTGGAGCTGGTCAGAGACAGCCAGCATCACAAGGAGAGCAGATGGTTAGATACCCTCTGAAGATTCATGGATCCCACTAGGGAGTGGCCATCCTGCCTTCTCCACGAGGTACTGAATGCTGGCCACACCCACTCCAGTGTCATAGACCCTGTTTCATCCCTCCCCCCTCTGGAACCTCAGAGAAACTGGCCAATCCCAAGGAGCTGAGTCAGATGGGAAGCAAGCCTGACTCACTGGAGCCAACTCATCGGAAAAGAGCCCGATGATGGGAAATATCGAAGGCAACGGAGAAGGGAGCGGCAGAGGACGAGATGGTTGGACAGCATCACTGACTCAGTGGACCTGAACCTGAGCAAACTCCAGGACAGCGGGGCCTAGCAGGCTACAGCCCATGAGGTCCCAAAGAGTCAGACGTGGCTTAGCAACTAACAGCAACAGCAAGAGGCTGACTCGCAGTCAGGGTGTGGATAAGCCCTATAAAGCTGACTTTGCTCCATGGAGGGGGACCAGTCAACCTCAGACCATGCTTCTACTCCGAGATGCGCGTTAACTATGATGTCTGACCATGTGAGAGGCTGAGGTTTCAAGGCCAGCCCTCCAGAATCAGTGTCACCCAGAAAGCCCTATGCCCCATAAACGCTGCGTTTGAAGCAGGACCTCAGAGGGTGAGCAGTGTGGCTTCCCTCGGGGGTTACTGTTGCATCCAGCAGGCACTGTGCTCTTCTACTCTCATGCGCTTCAGAGCTCAAAACAGTCACTCTTTGTAAAAATGACCCAATCGCGGCATTTACAAAGCTGACTGTAGAACAAATGATGTGAGCAAGATTGGCAGGCTCTTAAGTCGTGCTCAAGGAAGGCCAGAGACAGACTTGAGGACCGGAAGGCGGGATGGGATCCTTCAAATTTCTCATCAGTTCCCCTCCGACAGCTCGGTCTTCCTGCCTCTGCCCCTCTTCTGACTGCCAGCACAGGAGTTCACCTCGGATGTGGGAGGCCTCCCTGGCCTCTCCGTCCCCGGGAGCTCACAGCGGGATTCCCGGGGAAGCCAGAGCGGTCACTCGGGGTGGCCACCGCAGGCCACGGCGAAATCCAGCTCAACATGAGCTCAGGGTTCTGCGTGTGCCCGAGATCAGCGGCTCCAGCTCATTGATCGCCCAGCTGCCGTGGGGCTGACAGCCGCTCGCAGATGTGACAGGGGCCAGGGCATCCCTTCCAGAACGCAGTGAGCTGGTCCGCATTCTTTCTCAAGCTCCAGAGGCTTCTGCCTTTCAGGGAGCCTGGAGATTCCGTCCACTTATCCAAAGCTCAGGTTGGAGGGATCCTGCTAGTACTTTTCCTCAAAGGCCCAATTTCTCAGCCTTCCCTTCTGCAGCCCAATATTTGCTTCACAGGAAACTCTGCCATTTTCCCTTTATGTTTCTCCTGCGGCCCATCCTCTGCACGGCACGAAGCTCAGAACCCAAGGCTGGGAAAGTAACAAAGCTGTGCAAATATTCCCTGACATGGACGGATCTTCTAATACCTGCATCACACGTGTGTGTTGTGTCTGCGGCAAAGCTGGGGAAGAACCAGGTCTACTGGCCACTCCAGTACAAGGACGGTATTGGAAACAGTGCTGGAGGGACTTCCCTGGGGGTCCAGGGGTTAAAAATCCGCCTTCCCATCCAGGGGACACAGGTTTGATCCCTGGTTGGGGGACTAAGATCCCACACGCCACAGGCGACTAAGCCCACACCCTGCAACCAGAGCGCCCGCCTGCTGCAGCGATGATCCAGCATGGCCAAAGTGAAAAGTTAAATAAAACAAAACCGTGCTCACGTGGGTGCGGTCCTCCAGGAGAGGGCGAAGGTGGAAGCAGGGACCCCGTAGGAGTGAAACGCTACCCAGAGCTTCACTTAGAATCCTGCCTTAATTATAGCTGACATTTGTCAAACACCTTCTGTCCATGCGGCGCTTTGTTTCCATTTCCTCATAAAATTCTACCAACAACCTTCATGAGACACAAACTCCGAATAGACCCATTCTTAAGATTAGGAAACTGAGTCGCGGAAGGGTAAAATAACCTGCCTGAGGTCACACACTAAAACGCATCAGAATCAAGATTGAAACAGACCAGGGAATGTCCAACCACCACATTGTCTGCACTGTTCAGGAAGTGTTTGTGGACACATAAAGCGAAGAGTCTCCCAGGACGGAGATTGTTAGCTCCTTCCTTCTCTAAAGTCCAGGCCCTCCTCCCATCAAGCCTGGGCTCGGGGGGGGTCTGTGTCCCATGGAATCTGCTCTAGCCTTGTGACTAGGATTGCCAGATTGAGTAGATAAGAACACAGGTGCCCACTTAAAATTGAATTTCGGATAAACAATGAATAATTTTTCAGATTAAGTATGTTGCGGTATTGCATGGGACACAAACCAAAACTGATTGCTTATCTGAAATTACCAGGTGTGGATTATTGTTTTATTTTTTGGCGGCACCGTGAGGCAGGCAGGATTTTAGCTCCCTGACCAAGGATCGAACCCATGCTGCCTGCCTTGGAAGTGCAGAGTCTTAGCCGCTGGGCCTCCAGGGACATCCCAGCAGCATGTGTTTCACTGGACGGCTCCCCGCGTGCCTTGCTTTAACCAATAACAAACAGCAGGGGTGACCGTGGGCCAGTCCAAGCCCAGCCCCGAGGAGGGCGGCTGGTTTCCAGGTCCTCCGTCTCAGAAGCCCGCCCTGCGGCCACCGTGCTGTGGGCCAGCGCCCCACGGGAAGGCTCTGAGGCCCCCGACGCTGGGTCAGGCCGGGGCCTGGCAGGACAGCGCAGCTGCCGGCTTCGTGCGGCTGAGGCAGTAACCTCCATCTATTCCAGGAGAGGGGGGCGAGCAATGTGCCCCAAGCTCCTAACCCCCGGAACTGTGAGAAAGAGCAGATCATCATATTTGTAAGATACTACATGGTAGGGGGTTTTCTTATATAGCAACAGATAAACGAAATAGCCCTTAACAAATCATGCTTGAATTATTCTGCCTTGAGTCCCCAGACCTCGTGGGGTCCTCTGCGGTGCCTCCGTCAAGCTTGGTCCCTGCGAGGCTGTGGAGTCTGATCCCGTCTCACTCTGACTGTTTCTTAGGGAGGCAGTCTCTTCGTGAGGTTCAGAGGAGGACTTTGAAGACAGCCAGACCCAGGACTGGATCCCAGCTCTTTCGCACGAAGCTTTATGACCTTGGTCTCTTGGCCTGCAAAATGAGTCTGTCAATATTAACTACCTCGTGAGGTGGTCTGTGAGGATGAAAGGAGATTTAACGTCTATAAAGAGCTCAGAACAGCGCCAGGCCCTTAATTAGCGTTCGGCACATGTTAGCTGTTGTTATTAGTCATCCTCACACTGAATAATTTCTCTCACCTGTGTTATTCTACAATTTTATCCTCATTATTATTTCTATCCAGGGGAGAAAGTTTAATGAAGTCACAAATCATAATAACAAGGGTGGCAGAGACCACCACCACAGAACCACAGCTGTCCACGAGAAGAGACTCCCGGCCTGGGAAACGCTGACGTGTCCAGCCTGTCTAAGCCGCTCACTCTACCATGCCAGCCCGTTTGCTTTTCCTGGGCCCAGCTGCCCCTGAGAAACCACAGGCAACCTAGACCTACTGGGTGATGAATCGACCTCCTCGGCCACCCAGTCACTCTCCCAAATTTCTGTCTTTCTCTTTTCCCATGAACCAGACATGCTGAGACAGAAAACTGTAGATTTGGGAGAGCATAAGATGAAAGAGAAGATACAGGGGTTATGGAATCAACACAGGACTGGCGTCCGAGTCTGGTTTTGCCACATGCAATCTAGCATGATCTGTAAACAAGACCGTTGTGTAAAGATTAAATACATGACAAAAAGCTTTGCAGATTCAGGACAGCAGACAGACGTGAGCACATTTGTCCCTGGGACAGAGCTGAATGATTCCTATGGAGTTACATTCCTACACACTCCGCTCACCGTTGTGATCTGACTGTGTCTCTGGCTTCCCCAAACAAACCGCAGGCTCTCTGAAGCAGGAACTGAAGCTCATATTTCCTCTCATGCTCCACTGAACCTAGCACAGTGCAAGGTACTTAATCGGGGCATATTAATTAAGGTTTATGGATTTATATATATTTCACCTCTTCCTCTTTGGATCTGCAACTTGTAGATGGCAGAAGATAAAAAGAAGACCAGTTGTCGCTACTCTATAAGGTTCAGGATTTTCATGGAACACTCCTGATGCCTGAAGAAGGCATTTGCCCAATAATGATAATTAATAGCTAATATTTATTGAGCATATATTATGTGCCAGGTATTCTGGGAGGCACTTCGTACACATTATTTCATTTAAGCCTCAAAGCAACTCCGTGAGTAGGCTAGACCTAGTTCACATATAAGAAGACTCAGAGTCCAAAAAAGGAGAAGGCAATGGCTCCCCACTCCAGTGCTCTTGCCTGGAAAATCCCATGGACGGAGGAGCCTGGTGGGCTGCAGTCCATGGGGTCGCGGAGAGTCGGACATGACTGAGCGACTTCACTTTCACTTTTCACTTTTATGCATTGGAGAAGGAAATGGCAGCCCACTCCAGTGTTCTTGCCTGGAGAATCCCAGGGATGGGGTCGCACAGAGTCAGACACAACTGAAGTGACTTAGCAGTAGCAGAGTCCAAAAAATCTAAGGTCAAATAGAGTTCGTAAAGATAGACCGAAGTCCAGCTGATTCCAAAGTCTATGCTCTACTCTGAGGCCTAAACCTCCTTGGGTTTTTGCAGAAAATTATACAAATTTACATTTCTACTGCTTCCAAAAAAATATCCAAAGAACTTCTTGCATATTTCCCCCAGGACCCAGTTTTTCTAATAATCCCATAGAGTCTTGACTCCTATCAGGAGTTTTCAGTTCCTACAGCCCACCTGAAGAGCCACTTGGAAGAAGAAAAAAGAAATGGGAAAGAAGGGGAAGGAAGGATGAGGCAAGAAAGGCCCTTGGTGCCTCAGCTTTGACCCCATTCCTTTGCCACAAAAAAAACCTCGTCTCCTAAGTCATTTACCGCTCCATCATCCCCTTCCTGCATTTCATCTTAATGTTAGCATAGAGTTTCTTTGTGAGTCACAGCAAACAATGCAGCCACTTTTTGTTCCAAGGCAAGTCCAGACTGGTTTCAAGAGTGGACAAGTAGTGACTCACTGATAGGACCGAAACCAGGGGCTTGGAATCTCAGATAACTCAACAAACAACCTATCAAACAACCCTATCAAAAGTGGGCAGAAGACCTAAACAGGCATTTCTCCAAAGAAGACATACAGATGGCTAATAAACACATGAAAAGATGTTCAATATTAGTAATTATTAGAGAAATGCAAATTGAAACCTCAATGAGATATCACCTCACACCGGTCAGAATGAAAGTGAAAGTGAAAGTCACTCAGTCGTGTCTGACTCTTTGAGACCCCATGGACTGTCCATGGAATTCTCCAGGCCAGAATACTGGAGTGGGTATCCTGTCCCTTCTCGGGGAGATCTTCCCAACCAGGGATCGAACCCAGGTCTCCCGCATTGCAGGTGAATTCTTTGCCAGCTGAGTCACAAGGGAAGCCTTTATGCAAAAGGAGGAATTAAAGAATATGATCCATGTAAGGTTGCTTCCAGTCCTGAGAGTCGCATGAAATCTGAACCCTCTTGGCAGGGGCAATGAACCTATATGCTCATAAAACTGATGGTGCAAACTCCCTTAGGTGTAATTTAACCCTGTCTGTCTTCTCAGTCGTCAGGTGGCCAAAACAGGAACCAAAATGGCCCCAAGTAGCCCTGGATAAAGAGCAGATTGTCTTCCTTTGACAGACCACCAGAAAACCTGTTCCTCCACCAAACTGAGAGAGAATACAGAATCTTAGTAGCTCTCAGTGTTGTTGTTGTTCAGTCACTAAGTTGAGTCCAGCTCTTTGTGACCCACAGACTACAGTACGCCGGGCTCCCCTGTCCTTCACCATCTCCTGGACTTTGCTCAGATACACGTCCATCAGTCAGTGATGCTCCTTAACCGTCTCATCCTCTGTCGTCCCCTTCCCCTCCTGCCCTCAATCTTTCCCAGCATCAGGGTCTTTTCCAATGAGTCGGCTCTTGGAATCAGGTGGCCAAAGTATTGGAGCTTCAGCATCAGTCCTTCCAATGAATGTTCAGTTTTTATTTTCTTCAGGTTTGATTGGTTTGATCTCCTTGCTGTCCAAGGAACTCTCAAGAATCTTCTCCATCACCATAATTCGAAAGCATCATTTCTTTGACACTCAGCCTTCTTTATGGTCCAACTCTCACATCCATACATGACTAGTGGAAAAACCACAACTTTGACTATATGGACCTTTGTCAGTAAAGTGATGCCTTTGTTCTTTAATATGCTGTCTGGGTTGGTCATAACTTTCCTTCCAAGGAGCAAGCATCTTCTAATTTCATGGCTACAGTGATTTTGGAGCCCCCAAAAATAAATTCAGCCACTGTTTCCACTGTTTCGCCATCTATTTGCCATGAAGTGATGGGATCAGATGCCATCATCTTAGTTTTTTGAATGTTCAGTTTTAAGCCAGTTTTTTCACTCTCTTCTTTCACCCTCATCAAGAGGCTCTTTAGTTCCTCTTCACTTTCTTTCCTTCTTTTTTTTTTTTTTTGCCATTAGTGGTTCTCAAAAGGAGGAAAAGGGGGTGACAGACAATGAGATGGTTGGATGGCATCACCAACTCAAGGGACACAGATCTGAGCAAGCTCCAGGAGATGGTGAAAGACAGGGAAGCCTGGCGCCCTGCAGTGCATGGGGTCACAAAGAGTCGGACGGAACTGAGCAACTGAACAACAACATTTAAAGAATTTGGAGGTCAGGCTTCAAGTGGTTTAAGGTGGATTTTCTAAGTCAGGGAGCAGATCAGGACTGGGAAAAGTCTGTGACATTATAGTTTAGGATTGACAGATACAAGGGAGGAAGGACATGAAAACAAATCTTAATGAGTAAACTGCTGTTCGTTGAGAAAATTGTTTATCCAAGAAAGTGATCTATTGTCTTAACAAGAAAGAAGTTTGCCTAGAGGTGCAAACTATTTGTACAGAAAAACTGGCCAGCAGGAATTTCATAAAGCACGCAGTGAAGTTATTTATTGGTTTATAATCATCTCTTCTGAGACCTGAATTTCCAAGAACAATGAGCTCAGTTACGTCTCCATAGGAAGACGCAGAGCCATAGGACTATGTGAGTACTGTTGATCTCCAAGCTCAAGTTTCATTTTTTTTTTAAAGCTACCATGAGATGCTGTTCCATTCCCATGGAAACAGAACCTCACCTCCCTTCCTCCCACCGCTGACATGAAGCCTGTGTTCTAATGCTCCCACCTCAGCCCACAAGTGAGCAGAGATAGATAATAAAGAAACACTTTCAGTTGTGGAAGAGCTCATATCACTTGTCAATCAGGCTTGAAAGAATGGGGTTGTACGGAACCTACTGCTAACAACTACAGCCTTCTCATATTTTAAAAAATGTATTGACACAAATTAGTCACGGGGATGTACTGTAGAGCGTGGTGACTACAGTTAATAGTATTGTATATTTTAAAGTTGCTAAGAGAGTACATCTTAAAATTTCTCATCACTAGAAAAAAAATTGTAACTATGTATGGTGATGGATGTTAACTAGACTTGCTGTGGTGATCATTTCTTAGCATATGTAAATACCAAATCATTATATTGTATACATAAAACTAACATAATGTTAGATGTCAATTATATTGCAATAAAAAAGTGTTTTTAGGGGGCTTCCTTGGAGGCTCAGTGGTATATAATCCACCTACCAACGCAGGAGACATGGGTTCGATCTCAGGGCCGGGAAGATCCCACGGGCCACAGAGCGGCTGAGCCCATGGGCCTCAACTATTAAGCTCAGAGCTGTGCCGCAACTACTGGAGCCCGCAGGCCCCGGAGACGGTGCTCCGCCACAGGGGAAGGCACGGCTCTGAGACGGCCTCTGACCACAGCCAGAGGGTAGCCCACGCAGCAGCGAGCCCTGGCACAGCCGAAAACTGAGACAAGTAAGTTATTTAGACGTTAAATGCAAATGTAGGAACAGAATTTGAAAACAGAAAACAAACAAAAAAGTGTTTTTAAAAAGCCAAAACAGTCTTAAAAATTGCCTTAGGTCAATCGACTAGATGCAGGCTCAGTAAGTGTGAATGAAAGGCTTCTCAGAGGAGACAGGAAGGTGAAACCTGAGAAGCATGGGCCATCCGAGACAGGACAGAGGAGACAGAAGCAGGGTCACGGCCGAGAGAAGGCTGTGACTGTATGAAAAGGAGGCTGCCGTGGCAACAGGAAGTGAAAGTGGAGGTCGCTCGGTCGTGTCCGACTCTGCGACCCCATGGTCTATAGCCCATGGAGTTCTCCAGGCCACAATACTGGAGTGGGTAGCCTTTCCCTTCCCCAGGGGATCTTCCCAACCCAGGGCTCGAACCCAGGTCTCCCGCATTGCTGGCAGATTCTTCACCATATTAACAGACAAATGTCCAAATCTCGTTGGCTTACAGCAGCAGAAAGTGTATTTCTCAGTCTTGTTCACGTCTATCATGAGTCAGTAGTGAGCCTGCTCCTTTTCATTCCAAGACTTGGGCGAACGTAAGAGAAATTCCTATGTCTGGACATGGCTGGTGCCACAGCAGAGGGAAAGAGGGGGCGTGGAGGCCACGGGTGGCTTCTGAGGCATCTGTGCTCAGACAGGGCACAG